CACTTTGAGCTGCACATCTCATATGAAAGGTGCTATACAGATAAAGTTTATATTATTAGCATTATCATTATAACTTGCTGAAGTCTCTTACCATGATTAGAGATGGGCCGCAGTCCAGAGAAAGAAAAAGCGGGATCAAAATCAAAGTCTGGCCTGAGGCTCTGCAGATAAGTACTGACCTGATGTCCAGCTTTGATTGGTCCTTTGGGATCTACACCCACCTGTCCACCTCCTCGCTTCCCGCTGCACTTGACCACAGCAGTGGCCCATGTGTAGCGTTCCCTCTCATGGTTCCAGTGTCTGATCCGTCCTCAGGGCCTCATATCGCCGGAGACTCATACACCACAGCTTAGAGAAAACATTGAAATACAGACTGTACAATAACAGCGGTTTGGAAAGTCATGCCTGAAAAACACCATATACCTCTTGTTCATAAGTGAACATGTTATACAGATCTGGTGAAGAACTTTTAATGTTTGGCAAGAGAGGCTTATTGAAGTACGAAAAGAAAATGGTGCTGGTCTGACCTGAGAGTTTTGGACTGAGCCAAACTTAAGAGGTAAAAGTGTTGAGGGTACAAAATGATAGATACTCATGTCCTACATCAGATCAGACCCTCTCCAGGTTCTGACTTCCACCACCAGAGGGAGCAACACTGTCTAATATAACCACCATAAATAGAAATAGATCAGCAGCCATGCACTGTGAGGTCACTGTGTACAAGAGGAATAACTTACTTGTTGCATATGAACAGTTTGGATCGTTCCTGTAAATTGCAGGTTTTCATTATTAATCATGAATGAGTTTAATTCTTATTAAGATCCTTCAATCACGAGGATTCACACACTGGAATAATTAACTAAAAAGACTTTGAAGGCTTTGATCATAAGTTAATCAAGATCTCACACTTAGATTAACTGCAGCATAATTCAGAACCTTGCTGATTCTCCAACATAAAAGATGGATAACTTGATTCCAGGTCATAATAACATTTACATTAGGAGAGTTATACATTTTCCCTTGCTGTGCAAACATAAGCAACATGAGGGGGAGAAGTGAGCTGTGATGTGTTGACTGGAGCTGGAGAGCATGTGAGGTCAGGTCCAGGCTGTGACAGACAAGGCTGCTGAACCGAAATAGTGTCTGGCCCCAGTGACAGTATACTGTAAACTGCACGGGCACGTCAGCTGCAATGTACACATTCAGTCCTCTGTCTGTGTGAGGGGGCAAGAACATGTGAGGGGGCAAGAACAGAGTCCTGCAGACGGGTGGTGTTGAAGTTTAATCAATAGTTTTAAATCATGGAAATTCAAAATAAGAAGTGATCAGATAATTGATATTATTATGTTGATATATTTGCTTATTCGACAGTTCGATGAAATATAAAAAGATGTTGGGATATAATTTCTCATGTTTGTCTGATCAGCTGTTAATGGCTTCAGATCAGTGCTCAGGGAGGTTAAGCGGTTTTTTTATCAGCCATTCAAATCAGTTGTTTTTTAGTTACGACCTTTAAATGTCATTTTCACTTCTGTTTTGACGCTTCTCTATTTAGTCTTGTGTGAAAACCGAAACTTACTCTGGAATCGTTCACAGTGTTCCAACTCCCAGCTGACCTGATACAACTCTACGTGCGCACTGCTCAGTGTACGTGTGCGCCCAGTTTGTGCCGCGCTGTGATTTTTCATTGGTGCGCTCCAGGAGTTATCTGCCCCCTGATTGGCTGGGCTGTGGGTGTGTGCGAGCCGCTCTCTCGACTGTCGCTGACGCCCATTGGCTGCTGAGCTTTCTCCAGCGCCATTGGTCCAGATGGTTCCGTTTCCTTCCCGGCGATTGGTCGGCGCTGTAGTCATCACGCAAGAATGCGGAAGTCCCGTAGTCTACTGAGTCACCGTTGTGTCAGCTGATTCTTTCTGAGTGAGTAACTCGGTTTAAATTTTAAAATAAGCGAACTTGTGTGTGGTGTATCGCTGTTGCCGTGTTCTCGGGTTGTCAGACATGTGTTGGACATCTGGACATTGAGTCGTTTTGTCGTTTCCTGTTGGAAAAAGAGCGAATTTTACACCCGAGCTCCTAATAGTGGTGCTACCCGGTAGCTAGCAAGATGCTAACGTCTGCAAACAGTGCTCTCTCTCTCTCACATACACACACACACACACACACTCACACACTCACACTCATACACACACGCACACACACACTGTCGGTTTGTCAACGAGCCGCCACCTTACGTGGGACATGCGTGTAGTGAGGCTGTCGTGCACTTTCAGCATTTCAACACGACTGTAAACTTTGTGAGTGTTCGGGGGTTAGCACCTGTTGTGTTGTCACCTGTTATTCTCGCCTCAGAGGAGCGAGCAGTGCACAGGGAGGACGATTCAAATGGTTTTTGTTTCGATCAGAGGAATTCACCGAGGAGTTCCCCACTGCACTGCAAATCTATGTTATTCCAGTGACAAAAGGGAACTGGTTTTGCAATAGTCCTCTCATCACAGTCTCTGTTGAGGCTTCAATTACAGCTGCTGAGTATTTATTATCTAACAACTGGGATGCCCTCACTGTCCACACAATGTAGCTTTAGGGGGATATAAACACGAATGGCCTTAAAGTTAAGGAATCCGACATTTCATTTTACTCTCGGTGTAAATGACTTCTTGTTTAATCATTTGCACTGATAATGTGAAAATAGTGAAGCCCATCAAACATTTATGAAGCCGCCAGGTTATTTTCACTTTGTTTTATTTTGCTTATTCAACAAAGATTAACTTGCCATCACTTAAGCAGAAGTTATTGATTTAGGAGCCAGGAGCTAAAGTACAACTTCAGTTAAAAGTTGACATTGTGAGTAATTAGTGCACATGGAATACAGCTGGATTTACACATTACACATGACTGAAGCAACACTAAATGATGAGAGAAATAGATTACGATACATTTCAAACTAATGCAGTGAATTCTACCTGTTCAGAATAATGTAGTTTGAGTTGAGTATATCCACTGTTCCATAGAGTTCATATCATAGCCTTCATGATGATCATAATGTTGAATCAACAACTCAAGATGTTTCAACATATTTGAACATTAGAACTGTCATTAAGTACGATAGGATAGAGGACAAGTGTAGGATAGGTAGGATATATTGTCCAACTGCTGTATTAGACTGCATTAGTTTTAACTGTACCTACTGAGCTGGTAAATGGGTGTTCATACCATGGCAACAAGGCACTGGCTAGATACAAGCATCCTACATATCATACCTCTGGAACCAAAATGTCTCCTGAAGTAGCTGGATACTGACAGAGATCCCTCATTTGACTGAGATTCTTAAAATGATTCAAATTTGTGACTTTTGAGGGCCAGCCCTCCTTTCAGTCTGCCACACATCTCAGCTGAGCAGACAGTGGTACAGTGCCTAGCGGAGTCTTTGTAGTAAGTTACTAACTAGTAGGTGGAATAATATGTTGCTGGAACGTTAATATACAATAAATCCAAAATTTTCTATTTGAATCATAACTCAAAACATTGCAGTGATACCACCTACCCAGCTATTGAGTCAGTAGTAGTAGCATACACTGTGGCTATGTTTCATGGAGGCATATGAGTGATATTGAATGAAATGCAGCAGTCCCTATGTGCACACAGGATTTGACATGCGTGAGCATGCATATTGCATACTACTGAGGTGGGTGTGGTAGAGACCTCCTCACATTTTTATACACCAATACAGTTTTTTCAATTTCAGTTTTATTTTCTTGACAAGACATTTAATTTAAAAAATCACACTGTAAATTTGACCGCACAAGCTGCAGTCTCTGGTGTGTCATTTATTTTCTCAAGCATTTCCTATAAACTGGTGTCAACTGAGAGCGAATGCTGTGGCACAGGGTAGATCACACAAGTTTTCCTTTTATTCTTTTCCATATGTATTATTTCTTCAGAATCAAAGCAGAATGATGGCAAATTTTAAGTTTGCATAAGTGCATGTTTTCATATGAAGAAAGAGTAAATAAGGTAGACGAAATGTTGGATTATACTTTTAGAGAAAATGATTTCTTGAAAATGCACAAATTAATCTACCAATTGTGTACCTACCTAGATGGAAAAATAGCTATGCTATTTTGTAACTGCTGCCAAAACAGTATTTTGGAAAGAAATCTTTTTGCATCTTTTGAAAGAACTGATGATTTCTAATTACGTGCACTAATTGAAATGAACAAGTATTAAAATGCAAGAGTTTGTAGAGCTCTCTGCCTTTTTTGGTGTGTGGTTTTGTTATAGCACAAATGTACTGTATGGTACACAGAGTATGGTACAGCGTCACGTTTCTCTTTACCCCAGTCTCCAGCAACAGCAGGCAGCTATTCTCAGCAAACAACCTCTGATAAACCCACTGCACATTACCCACCCAGCACCATACTGCAAACAAAGCATGTGAACTTCTGACTCCTTGGGAGAGGACCTGCTATTATGTACATTTCGAAGGTTAATTTTAAGGCAATGAAAACACAATGATGTTTATACACAAAAGAAAACGTGACTAACTAGATGGCACTCACTGCAAAGGCCAAACAGTCCTCTCTTGAAACCACATTTGAATTCACCAGATCCAGATTTTATTTATTTTTTGATTTTCCCAAAAATCCTACACACACTGTTCCTTTAAAGGTTTGGTCTCCTTACTGTAAACCAGATTGTTTCTCTGCTAAATGTTTAACTTTTTAATTAAAGCTTATTCAAATCCAATTGTTACCTTATATTTGATTTTTCACTACACTTTCTCTCATTGCTTTGAGTGCAACATTTAACCTTTTTTGTAAACAATTATGACTGGTTGCTTAAACGATTTCTCTATTCCTGACTGATTACCAATCATATCATCCCTTTTGATAAAATGAGTCATTCGTTTATTGTAGGTGGGTGAAATGTTCATGCCCTGTAGTATGGCCCCTTTCACTTTGAGAAGCCTGGCACTTACAGAGTGGGAGGGAAAAAGAGTAAGCAATAGAGACGGAGCCAGGCAGGAAGGGAGGGAGGGAGGGAGGGAGGTATGTCATGCAGTGGATTACAACCAGTATGTGTTTGGTAGAGAGACTTCCACTACTTTGCAAGGCATTGAGCTTTTGTTCAGGCTTAAAAGGCAGCGAGACGTTTCAGCAAAAAGTGTGATTCACCACTTTGCACAGGTAAGAGAAGGTTACATAGAAAATAATATTTTGAGAGTAATTCTTTTTTTTCTTTTTGTTGAGCTGTGTGCAAAAGGGGGTGTGTCTGAAATAAACAGTGGGGAAAGTGAGATGACAGCACTGCACAGTAAGATTTTCAGCCCAGCTTCATGTCCTTGGAAGCAGTGTTTTGCAGTATACTCAGTATAAACACAAGAGAGTAGACACTATATCTCTGTTTAGTCTTGCTGCCTGTGTGTATTTGTCACAGCCTTTGTAGTATATGCCACTCCCTCCTGACAGAGCTTGCGTATGCACAGGAAGAGAAGGCAGTGCATTATTTGTGTTGCTTTTCACACCGTAGTTATTTCATTTGGTGTTTTGTTTCGGGCTGCTCTGTGTTTCACTGTCTTTTATTTTGAGTGTTCAGCTACTGTGACAAATAATGATTCACATGTGTTGGAATGAATTTCAGAAACTCTTGGTCATGTCTAAGCGGATCAGGACATGGTGTGCTGAGTGTGTGAAAGGAGTTGTGGAGTTTGCCCACATCTGTTGTATATGCGTCTCCTGCTGTTATCTGTTTGGCCGCCGATAAACTGATGAGGAATGTAGAGTTTGGGTTCCCGTAAATCTGAGTTTCTCCCGTCGGGTCATGTCAGTTGATCCACTCCAAGGTTTGCAATGTGGCAACAGACTTCCTGCCTGTGCCTGCACGTCTGTCTGCAGCGCTGCATGTGTGGAGTGTTTACATTGACTTGACCTGATTTGTTGGGAGTACTTCTTGTCCCAGCCCATCTAACCATCACTATGTATACCCCCACCTTCCTCTGAGAGCTGCTGGGACTGTGGTCAGTTCTATTAAAGTGAAAAGTACATTACACATTATTTTAGTGCAAGCATTCATCGTGCATGCTGTACTTAAAACCAAGCAGGTTTGAAATCCTGCCATTTTTCACAATCACACACACTCCATCAAACACCCCCGCACTATACACACCCAGTGACTGAAGGTAGTGTGTCTTTATTTTGGCAGGAGCCATCGCTGGCACAGCAGAGCCCAGTAGACGGGAGGAGAGGGCGGGATCTGAAGAGGAGCACCCAGACAAACTGTCCACAGCACGGGCTGGCAGCATGGTGAGCCAATCACACTGCTGGGGTGGGAATTGTAGATTGCAGATTTGTGGTTGATATCAGACTAGTTGCTTTATGAAGGTGAAATGGCAAATTGGGATTTCCTCACTCTCACACAGGAAATTACACAATACTGTTACAGGCTTTAACCAAGTGCAGGGTGTTGCAATATGGTTAAGAAAAGGATACATTTTGCAAACTTTTGTCGCTGTTACAACTTCCCACATTGTGGTTTGGGACTCCATATTAAATAAAACAATATTCCCATTTACCAATGCAGATGTTCCTTTACATACAGTAGTATGTCTATGTATCTATGACATCAAATTTGAAAAAACACTGCAGGGCTCACATTTTCAGATATTGTCACTAATTGTGAAAATGTGCGCAATTGAGAAATGGGAAATAAGAGTACATGTCTCGTTTGTGTCAGACATAACAAAAACCCAAATCTTCAATCACAGCTTCCCCTTCAGTCTGTGCTCTTAGTTAATAAATGCAGGTGAGAAAAATATGTTGGATTATGCTAGCCAAGGCTAAATTTGATTAGTCACTAACAGTGCTTTGATATCATCACAGAAACTTGGGGTTCACTTCCAAGAGATGGTATCTCCAACGTGTTCAAGCCTGCTCGGCCATGTATTTGGGTGGGAAACCAGTGAAGGATCAGGAGAGAAATTCTTCCCGTAAATTATGACGCAGTGTTTTAACTTTATTGTTGCAGAAGAAGCGACACCTATGAACATAAATATGAATTCAGCAAATTTTAAAAAGGTTAGTGCAACATTTGAGTGATTAGAAAAGAGCAGAGGAGTCAATGCTGGTTACCTATTCTTCAGGTGAGTTATTAATATCTGTCAACATTAGCGTGCTAGCCTACGATAGCCAAAATTCCTGCAGTTGGGCCCAGTTTAAGTGACAATTGACTCTCCCCAATCAGCATCGCTTTACACTTCATATGTAGTTTTCGCAGCAGGGTAACAGATTGTTTTATTCAGGACTTTGCTAGAAGGAACAGATTTTACATGTGTGACGTAGCTTCCTGCCACATATCTCTGGAATAGCTCTCTGTTATGCTGACGGTGTTTGAGTACACACCCTCCCAAGACGACCTTGACTTGAGTGTCTGACAGTACTTAATGGATAGATATCTGGAAGTCAAAGACAAAACTAAGATGTTATGAAACTTATCCATTAAATTCATCTGTGCTACTTCAAGTTGCCACATGCAATTAGTTAGAATGTGAGTATTGCTGTGGGAATGCTGAGTCTCAGATTTGTTTGTGAGACAACTGTGTAGTTGTCTAATCATGCTGCTGTCGGAGGCCAGAGGGTTATACTGTAATTATACTGAAGCTTAGCAAATATAATGTGAGAGATGGGTTATGCTCAGTTCACAACTCCACTAGCATTTCTCATGAGCCATTACAGTGACTGGATCAGTGTCTCACATATATTTGACCAAAGTGCTCCAATTGTCGATGATTATGATGTGTGTAGCCTTGTGAGGCTTCTACAATTAGGTTTTAAATGCATATTATTCTGTAATTTGAGCAAAGAATATCCAAGATATGATTTGTCTGTTCGCTCTTTCTCTCTAAACCCACAGCAAATGTACTTAAGCCCTGATAGACGGGAAGCAGTGACAAATTCCTCTTGAAACTAATGAGCTTTTATGGGACAGAAATAGGAAGTGTAACTAGAGGATGTGTGTTCCGAGGTTCTTGTGAGGTCCACAGAATGTCACGATGGCCACATGCCTAGCTCTGACTTTTTGTGAGACACATGGTCGAGCTACGGGCCTGATTAATGGCAGAGCTGAAGAACGAATTATGTGCCCACTGATGATGTTGAAGTTTTGTTGAAGTTGTTTTTTAAAAATGCATCTTTTGACTGACCCATCCTTATGTTTAGCATGTTGCATTTTGGGTATGGTTGGGTGTGGTCAGAAACCTGTACAGTACGGCCACACTCAGAACACACTGTAGACTATTTCAATCACTAGAGATCAGTAAAACCCATACGTCATGTCTAGATTTGATTGTTACTTAATCTGAGTATTCAGGTTAACGTAATCAGAAATCAGACTTTTCTCTTAATTGGTTTATTATCAGAATCTAGTCTATTGTTTATAAGATCTGCAGCTCCATTAGCAGGTCCTTTTTTAAGTTGCTCTGTGGACACAGCTAATTATACTTCTACCTGTCCTTAGCTGCTGTTGATCTAAGGGTCATTTACTCAGTTCGGATTGTCAGACATTTGCTCCTGCAGTTTGTTCCACAGGTAATATGATCTTTTTAATCCTATCTTGTGTGAAGCAGTGTTTAATTGCTTCCCAGCCTTCAGCTTCTTCGCCGAAGCAAACTGGGAAGTATTGAGTTCATTCTGTTGTCCACTCATGCTGCCATATTGTTAGCTGGATAATGGGAGCATGGAAACAGGGACAATGGGGTTGGTTTACCCTGCTCTCTGTACCCACACTGCACTGTAATACTACCTTGTAGGTGCTCTGCAGTTCATGGTGCCACCAACAACATGCAAAGATTGGTGTTTGTCTCACTGCCCCATTTGATGTCGCCTTCTTACATAAGTATTAACTCACGTGCGTGTCTGTCTGTCTGTCTGTCTGTCTGTCTGTGGAGGTGTAGTTAAAGCCAAAGGGCTTATTCCAGGTTGTTGTTAATGATTTGACTGTATCTCTTGCTTCTAGTACTGTTTGACCTTGCTCTGGTCCTGAGGTCTGGCTGTCATTGTCTGGTTCCCTGTTCCTCCTGGTAATTTTGTTGTTTTGGTCAGGGTACTGTGTGTGTCTTTTAATCAGAGCGTACCATATGTTTGAGATGTTCTGATGCTGTTAATTGACACCTTGCAGCTAATCAAATTTCACAAGAGTTAAGAAATATTGGACAGCCTGCTTTTTAATCCTTTTCATGCATCATGCATCATTCAGCACTCAGTTGCTTTAAGCTAATGGCTCAGTTGGCCACAGATAACTGTAATAAAACAAATAACATTTAACTTATGCAACCTGTGTACTGCAATCATTGCAGCATTTTCAGACACTTAAAAGATATATATGAAGATAAATAGGAAATTTGAGTAGATTTTATGGACCATTCTTAATTCCTATGTCTTATTCATATCCTACTTCTATAGTTGTGTGTTAACATGTAGGCTGACACTGTGTTGGTGACTCGCTGCCCTCCTTTCCTAAAATAAAATGTGAGACACAGGAGACCAAATCTGGTACTCACTTTTGCAGCTGGTTTGGATGAGGCTGTGCTGGGCAGGGAGGAAGGAGGAATTCAAAGCCCAGTGTTTGGACTGTGGACCCACTCATCATAGATTACAGACATACTGAAACTCCTAAAATGTCCAGGCATCTTTAGTTTTTAATGGATGACTTCTGAAAACTTGAAAAATGACAATAAACCTGAAAGAATTCCAACTTCAAACTGTTTACAGTGAGATAAAATGTCGAAGCAGGTATATTTGACAAGTTTATTCATGCATATTATGTTCCATTTAACAACAACTTTGAATAATGTTTCAAGAAAAAGACAGGTACTGAGCAATTTTCTGTCACCCAACCAAAGTTGATGAAGCACATGATCTCAATACAATGTTTCAATAATGACTAACGTGTGAACATATTTCTAAGGCTTATGTGTCAACCTGTCACAACCAGAAGAATATAAATTTAACAACTCAGGTTTTTTATTTGACATTAAAATTATTCTCAGTCAACGTCTGCTTGATTAGTCTAAGTGCATTGTATAGCAGCAGATGCTCATTTACGAGCTATTATTAAATTTAAGGTCTAGTGTGTAAGATTTAAGTTAAACTGATCTATTGGCAGAAATTAAATATAAAATAATCCTAGTGATGTTTTCACTAGTGTGTTTCATATAAATTGTACAAAATGTTGTTTGCTTTACCCCAGAATGAATACTTTATATTTCAATAGGGAGCGGGTCCTCTACAGAGGCCGCCATGTTTTTTACAGGAGTCCAAACTGGATAAACTAAACACCTTTTGAGTTTTTATGACAACTGAAGTCTACCACATGTTATTTTTCATGTTTGGAAGGGCAGGGTGAGGTGAGGGGTATTAAGCTGCAACATGAAACTTCACCACTAGATTCTACACACTGCACCTTTAAAGTAATTATGCACTTCAGTGTAATTTATTATGAATCTTGCAATATAAGGATCTCTTTTATGAAATGTAGACATCGTCATAATATGTAAGAGCAATGTGAGACTGAGGGGCACTGTTTTTTCAGTAATAAGGTAAAAACAAATATAAACGAGATAATACAGTAGGGATCATTTTGTTCCTTTGTGATTTTAGACATGTCTGTGGACATTTTCCAATGGTACAGTATCTCATTATCAAATACTTTATCAGTCCACCTTCCTGTGATATTGCAAGCACAGGCAGACATGAAGAAGTATGCCTATAGTTAAGTATATCCCCTCTCCCCCTACCCTCGGCCAACAAATCAAAATTCACCCCATAAAATATGAAATGAGGCTCTACCTCACTGAAATCACTTAATGGGACTTTCCTTAGTACAATTAATCCCATTCTAATATTGGTGTATTCTGTATCCAGCCCGTGCTGTGTCTACAACATTATACGTGTTACATAATATGGGGTCATACCCATGAGTGGCTGTCACGACTCCATCAGCGAGGAGATGGGACAAGAGGGGGAGAGGCTGCATGACACAGTATCGTATACAGGAAGATCTGCACACTGTGTACATGCAGTGACCATGCCAGATTTCAAGCACAGGACTAAGCATTTCAAATATGTACTCCATTTGTGCCAGACGGTGCCAAGAAGACACTGAAGAAGAGTTTGTGTGTAGATTGCTGTGTCATCAGAGATTTCCGCATAGAGTCACTCTCCTCAGCACCCTCCCTTATTTGTCCTCTGCAACGTAATATCCTCCTGCACTAGATCAGCTGCAGCCAGTGCAACGGGTTTGTGATGGG